GTTGATTGTAATGGACGGTTAGACCTACTGAAGGCAGCTTGTTATGTTACAGGTTGATGTGAGATCAGAATATGGTAGCCAAAACAGTGATGATGGTGATGAAATTGGGGCAAAACATTTCCAAATGTCTGAAACACCGATAAATGTTATGCATTTAAAATATGTTTGCTGATTTTTTTGAGGTAGGTATTTTGGAATATACCGGAGAGCAAGTACGAAATTTAAAAAGTGAGAGCGTTAAGAAATAATGAGAGTAAATCAATTATGGATGGATTTTCATTGATTTTGTACCATTTGAATCCGATTTGATGTACACAGCAAAAAAATAATTTTAATATCACATCAATGTGGATGCACTTCAATCGTGTCGAATATATGGTGTAATATTACTTGCCAAAAAGGACAAAATTATCATTAATACAGTGCATGAGCTGACATTACGCTGCTTTCACTGCATTTGTTATTTTTTTGGCAAGTAATATTACACCCTATTTTTGACACGATTGAAGTGCATCAATGTGATATTAAAATTAATTTTTTGCTGTGTACGATATGTCTGGAATAACAATTACAAAATTGATCATACTCTGCTTCCTTGCCATGACTATCGACAGACGAGCCTATAACGAATCCGGTCATCAATTCCACATATTAACAATACACTAAACTAACTGAAATTCAACCATCGATCAAATTTCAAATGTGAATGCAATTGCAAATGGGTGGAGTATTACGTACTTATACATTGTACTGTATGTTTATGTATGTTCCACCTACAAGCGTCAAATACTGCTCTGCATGAAGGGCCAAAAATGGAAGGGCGGATTCATAAGAAGAGGTATTTAAGCGAAACCCACGAGATAATAGAATCTCCTTCCGACAGCAACATCCCAGTACATATGAAGCTTTTCGTCTGATGGTTTGTTCTATGTAAATCATTGTCTGTAGCCACAGTGGCGTAACATGCCTGGGTGACTCCCAGGTAGGTTATGCGGGTTCATTTTTTGAAAAACATATTTCAAGAAAACTACAGGCTAAAAATGGACCTATCCATGTTTACGAGCCCACTTCGTGCATTCATCATATTTTACCGAGAATTCCAATTTTATCGCACTGATTCTACCGAGTTGTATCACTAGCAATTGTTTGTGGTCACTTCATTGAAAAAAAAAAAAAAAAAAAAAAAAAAATGGTGGGTTTGTATACAAGACACGACCGCATGGTTGACGTAGACTACGTTGAGGTGTTTAGTGAACTTCTCGTGCATTTTTCTTGATATTTAATTTAAAATACAGTAGAAGTAACTTATTTCTTCAATTTACTCCATTTACTTGACATGGCAATTTCCTGACCCTTATTAGTTATTTTTGTGGTGTTTATTACGTTTTATTCATGATCGAGATACAGTGGCGTCGTGTATACATAGAGTAGATAGGGGTATGTAGAGGAGCATGTTTAAAGTAGGGGCAAGGTTTCTGATATCTGTTACATCTCCCTTTTCAAAAAGAACAACTACAAATTTAGTCTGGTTACTGGTTTGATCGTTCTTTCTGCTCTTGTCACGTATGGCTGAAGGCCGCTATCATCATTAGATTGAAGAACTGGTAGAGAAGGTTGACCCTGTGGTGATACAGCTGGCGACGATGACGGCGTATTTCCAGTTTCGGATGACGGTCCATCGGGATCGATTCCTTCGGGATTCTCGGGATCATCTTCACTAATGGCTTCGGGTTTAGGTGTAATCGAGACACGGATCTCCTTACATGCTTCATGTTGCGTCGAACGATGTCACCGTTGTTTTTCTCAACGATAATAGACCGTGGAGTGTCCGTTTTGGCGATCACTTTACCCGACTCCCAGATATTAGTCAACTGATTCTGCACCAGTACATTATCGTTGACATCCAATTTCAGGCATTTCCGATCTCCTCGATCATAGTAGTCCTTCTTTTTCTGCCTCGCAGCTTCTAGGGATTCCTTGACATTTTCGACAGCAATTGGTTTTAGCTTCTCTTCTACTATCGGCAGCGGAGGTCTTGTTATCCTGCTAATAATCCTTTGGTCCGGCGACAATAGTTCCTTAGATCGTGGAATATTGCGGTAGTTCAATAAACCAAGCTGTACGGAGCTGTTGTCTTCTTTGCACTTCCTTAGAATGTTCTTGGCTATTTGAACTGCTCTTTCAGATAGACCGTTGCTTTGTGAATAGTACGGGCTCGACGTTACGTGTTCGAAATTCCAAGTTGATGAAAACTTTTTAAACAATTGTGACGTATACTGCTTCGCGTTATCGCTGTTGAGCTCTTCTGGAACTCCCCAAACTGCAAACCATGTTTCCAGCTTCTCTATTACCTCCGATGACTCCATCGTGCGCAGTTTCTTAAAGTCAATCCATCTCGAATAGCTATCGATGAGTACCAGATAATGTACTCCGTTGAAGTGGAAAATATCCGAAGCGACTATCTGGAATGGATAGTCAGGAATCCTCTTGACGATCATCGGTTCCTTTACACAACTTCGACTGTGCTTTTGACACACGCTGCATTCATCCACATACCGCTGGATGTCACGGCCCATGCCAGGCCAGAACACTAACTGTTTCGCACGTTTAATGCAAGACTGGATTCCGAAGTGTCCAGGCTCAGTACTTTCTTTCGAAGCAATTCTGGTACCAGAATGCAGTCACCCTTAAAATTACACCTTCATACGTTGATAACTCATCTCTGAAGTTCCAATAGGGCTGGAGATCACCATCCACATGTGCTAGTTCTTCTGGCCATCCTTCGAGTAAGCAGCGAATTAGTTTCTGCAACACTTCAGACCTTTCAGTCTCAGCCAAGGTTGCAAAGACTCATTTCAGCTAAAATAATGTTTTTCGGAATAATAAAACCAAAAGATGGTATGATGGCATGTTTTACTTGTAACTTACAAGAAGAGGCTACAAAGTATGCGTTGAAAACATAAAACCTGTAAATTTTGCTTTCTATGAGTCACATTCAGCGATTTGCTGATCGCTGAGTGAGTGAGTGAGTGAGTGAGTGAGTTTGTGAAAAATCGCTGATTGTGACTCTCATGAAGTGAAATAAACAGGTTTAATATGTCAAACACATTCTTTGCAACCTCTTCTTGTATCCTACCAATTCAAAATTTGATCATGGCATCTAATTATTTCATAATTTAGAAAAACATTGTTTTAGCTGAAATGAGTCTTTGCAACCTTGGTCTCAGCTACAATTTGATCCATCCACGGCTTCGTCACGTTGAGTACCACGTGAACCTCTAGCTCATCCTCGTTTTTCTCCTTCAGGTTGTCAACGTCACGGCTTAACGTATCACCAATTGGTACATTTTCTCCTCTTACGTAGATAATCGACGGTGCATATGGTTGGACATCGAGAATGATGCGTTTCAGTCGTGGTGGGGCTTTATCCAATGGTTTCTTGAATATCGATTCAAGAGGCTTATGGTCGGTTTCAATTGTTACCGGCCTCCCGAAGATATAAGGATGAAACTTCTGACATCCGAATCTAATTGCAAAGGCCTCTTTTTCGATTTGAGGATAATTTTGTTGAGATGGAGTCAGTGCTTTAGATGCATATATGCTACCGGGCGTCCTTCTTGCAGGAGAACTGCTCCCATCGAGTGTGAGCTGCAGTCCTCCGATAGCACGTTTTCCTGATTCACGTCATAGAATTTCAGCGTTGAGAGATATCTTTTTATCTTCTCGAATGCTGCTTGTTGTTCGTGGCTCCAAACCCAAGCAACTTCCTTCTGGAGTAGCAATGTTAGAGGAGCTGTAATTTGCGAGAGGTTAGTAATGAATTTCGATAGGTAAGTTACCATTCCAAGCAAACGTTGTAACTGCTTCTTGGTTTCCGGTACTTTCAGCCTTCTGATTGCCACAATTTTCTCGTCGTCTGGTTTCAGTCCCTCCGCCGATACGATGTGTCCAAGAAACTTCACGGATCTAACGGCGAACCGACACTTTTCGTTATTCAGCTTCAATCCAGTGCGATCTAGGCGGTCAATTACGTTCGCTGTGATCTCCTTTAGTTTCGCTTCGCTTGATTCATATATCAATATATCATCCATCGAGATATCCGTGTTATCTAGTCCATCCAGCAACGTTGAGATCTGATTCTGGAACACCTCTGGTGCTGATGCGAGACCGAATGGAAGACGTTTGCATGAGTAGTGGTCCCATGGCGTTCCGAATGTCAAGTATTTTTGGGACGCCTCCGCTACTTGGATCTGCCAAAAGCCCTTCTTGCAGTCCAGTATGGTGAACCAAGTTGAATCACGGATCCTTGCCGCAATCTCCTCAATCGTCCTGAGTGGATAGTGTCTGCGCAGAATGCTTTTATTCACGTCTGTTGGATCAATACACAGTCGAATCTTCTTATTCTTCCGGACCACTACTAGGTTGCTTACCACTGGTGTTGGTTCTTCTTGCTTCCTTATAACTCCCAGTTTCACCATGTTTTCCAGTTCCTCCTTCACTTCTCCTCGAATTTTGTGCGGAATCATCCTTGCTGGTCGAATCTCGAATTTTGCGTCCGGCATAAAGTCCAACTCGTACTCAAATCCTTTCAGACAGCCCAAACCTTTGAAAATGTTGGTGTCCTCTCTCACGTCGTGTACTCGGCTAAGCAGATTCAGCTTCACGCAACTGGTCCTTCCAAGAACAGGAACGACGTCTAGATCCACAACTTTATAGGTTATGTTATCTTCTTTACCTTTCACTACACTTTTCATTGTGAATTCGCCTTCCACCTTGTTCCGGTGTCCATTGTACGAGACGATGTACTTGGTCTATGAGTCCAGTAACTTCGCGCCAGTTTTCCTAGCCAGATCCAATGGCACAACATTGCATTGTGCTCCACAATCCAACTTGAACGTAATTTTCGCAGGTCCCACGAACACTTCCTCGAACCAATCGTCATCATCCGTCCTGGAGTTCTCCTGAGCTTGAATTGCGTGCAGATGCAGGTCCACATGTTCCTATTCCGACGAATCTTCTGTTTCCTGTACGATAGACGCTGTTTTCTTCTCCTTATTCTTCTTGCTGCTACTGCTAGACGATTCCCGGTCCTTGCTCTTCTTGAAGCAGCATTCTGGCAAGTGTCCAGTTTTGTTGCAAACAGGACAGGTTTTCTTGAATGCAGGACAACTTTTCTTTCCGTGCTTAGTTCCAAACCTACGGCAGTTGAAAGGTTTATCAGCTTCTCTTCCCTTGATGGCATCGCAACTCTTCGTGTCAGAGCTGATCTGGTGCAACGTTTCCGTCGTCTTTTCACTGGATCTGCAGATTTGAATTGCTTTCTCAAGGGTCAACTTGGAGTCACTGAGGAGCTTCTCCCGAACTTTTTGACTGCGCACTCCCAGCACGATTTTGTCCTTTAGCAGTCGATCTTCCGTAGACATACCTTCCTGTGGAGTATTGAAATCACAAACCACAATAGCCTGTCGCAGCTTAATAAGAAAGCTGTCAAAACTTTCATCCGGGCCTTGGTCAGTCTTCAGGAATATGTACGTGCTGTACGTAGGGTTAGCAGTAGGGTTGAACGCTTCGGCAAACTTTCGCTTGATCACATTCGGGTCTTTTTTCTCCTCTTCCGTCAGTTGGAATCCCGTAAACGTTCCTATTACATCCGGTCCCAGACTGTTCATGAGGATGCCGACCTGCCTTTCCGCCGGGAGCTGTTTAATTCCTGCTGCTAGCTCGAACCACTCGTATTGCTGACTCCAATCTTTCCAGATTCTCGCCTTGTCAATTTGATTCCGGATGTCGATTCTCTCCGGCGGCTGGGCTGAGAAACTTTGAATGGGGTTATGTACGCTGTTCGCTTGCTGCTGAGGCGGTGGCTGTGGTGGATCGACCATTTTTGCAACTTTTACGCTTTACCGATCCGTATCCAATCAATATTTACGTTGTCCAACTTTACGTTTCGCGTTTCCGAACTATTTTTTCCGTATCCGCAATATTTTCATCGGTTTTTTCGGGTTTTTCCGCGCGCGAAAACCACTTCTGACACCATGTGGTGTTTATTACGTTTTATTCATGATCGAGATACAGTGGCGTCGTGTAAACATAGAGTAGATAGGGGTATGTAGAGGAGCATGTATAAAGTAGGGGCAAGGTTTCTGATATCTGTTACAATTTTTCTGACTGTTTCTGGACTTTCACACTTTCAACTGGAAGTTTGGTAGCAGCCGAAAACTGATGTTCCGTCTTGCAGCGATGGCCACTCTCCCACCCCCGGAGCAGATGCGGTCACTTTTGACGATCCGGAAGTCGGGAAAGAATACGTTCAGTTCTGGCTTCAAGTGCGTCTCGGTGATGATAGCAATGTCGATCTCCTTGGTGTTGAGGTAATCGAGTAGTTCTCTATGCTTGTTCGTCAGCGAGCAAGCGTTCCAATTTGCTATTTTTATAGCTTCACGGTCCATACTTGGTGATGAGAGGTAAGGCAGCATGAAGCTGTTCAGATCAAGTCTTGCAGGTGTGCAGGATGACGATCACCTTTGTAACCAGCGTTAGTAGTTCCTTCGATGTAAACGGAGATTCGTCAACTGAATCGCCAGAGGCAACACGGGCATACGATATTCCAGGCGCCGAGGCAGAAACTTAATTTGGCAGGGCCACTGCAGCAGTGAGGCGATACTGAGCTGAGAGGGCGGCTCGTTGGTTGTTGAGGGGTAACGGTGGGAGATTTGGGACCATGCAATGAGGCTGGATTGCCGGGTATTGCCATAGCACACTTGTTGCAGCGTGGTTGCGTATGACAGATCCTCGTGCCATGGCCGAAGGAGAGGCAACTTGTGCATAGGGTCGTATCACGGTGTTGTGGTTTGTAGGATTCCCAGTAGATAATGACCTGAAACAGGTCATGTATGTTGCTCTTCAGCGCGGCAAGGGTCGTGGAGCCCTTCGTGAAGTGGACCATAAACAGTTGGTCACGATAGTTATTATTGTGCATATGCCGTCGATCCATTGGATGGAGTGCCTCTGGTTTCAATCTGAGCCTCACCATTTGCAAGAGAGTTCGTGGGGCAATTCTTGGGTGCCCGCGCTACCACGGACCAAATTTTCGCGATTCGGCAAGTTCTGCAGAAATGCCGTGAATACAACGTGCCCACACATCATTTGTTCATCGATTTAAAATCCGCATACGACACAATCGATCGAGATTAGCTATAGCAGATTATGCACGAGTACGGATTTCCGGACAAACTGACGCGATTGGTCAAGGCGACGATGGATCGAGTGATGTGCGTTGTTCGAGTTTCGGGGACACTCTTGAGTCCCTTTGAATATCGAAGGGGGTTACGGCAAGGTGATGGACTTTCGTGTCTGCTGTTCAACAACGCGTTAGAAGGTGTGATCAGAAGAGCTGGGATAGACACGAGTGGCACGATCTTCAGGAGGTCCGTCCAGCTCCTTGGCTTCACCGATGACTTTGACATTATGGCACGGAACTTTGAGATGATGGCGGAAACGTACATCAGTCTGAAGGCTGAAGGATTGGACTTGCCATCAACGCATCAAAGACAAAATACATGAAAGGAAGAGGTTCTAGGGAAGACAATAGTAGCCTCCCACCCCGAGTTCAGATTGACGGTGACGAAATCGAGGTGGTCGATGAGTTCGTGTATTTGGGCTCACTGGTGACCGCCGACAATGATACTAGCAGATAAATTCAAAGACGCATTATGGCAGGGAATCGTGCCTACTTTGGACTCTGGAGGACGCCCCAGTCGAATAAAATTCGCCGCCGCACGAAGTTGACTGTCTACAAGACGTTGATTAGACCGGTGGTCCCCTACGGCCACGAGACCTGGACTATGCTCGTGGAGGACCAACGCGCCCTTGGTGTTTTCGAACGGAAGGTGTTGCGTACCATCTACGGTGGAGTGCACATGGATGACGGAACGTGGAGGAGGCGAATGAACCACGAATTGCACCAGCTGCTGGGAGAACCATCCATTGTCCACATTGCAAAAATTGGGCCACTACTGTGGGCTGAGCACGTCGTAAGAATGCCGCACGACGAACCAGTGAAAATGGTTCTAGAAAGCGACCCAACAGGAACAAGAAGAAGAGGCGCGCAGCGCGAAAGGTGGATCGACCAAGTAGAAGGCGACCTGCGGACCCTTCGCAGACTACGAGGCTGGCGAAGTGTGGCCATGGATCGAGTAGAGTGGAGACGACTTCTTCGGACAGCAGAGGACATCAAGGCCTTAGCCTGATTGGCAAGGTAAGTAAGGTAAGGTATATTTGCGCAACCGTGGATGGTCATGCTTTAATTCCACTACCTTTTTTGCTTATACTTGACAAAATTGCGCATTTTAGTGCATAAAACGAACATAACTTTTGGTTATTCAACAGATAATAAAAAAGCAAAAACATGATTTGAGGAATTTCTTGCTTAAAATTTTCCATCTGTGATTAATCATATAAATTCGAGATTTTTTGATTTTTTTTCTAGCGTCCTGAAGAAAACCTTACCTTAATTCAAAGTGTTTCTGGTGGTGTTCGGTCATTGCGAGAATTTGTATGTACCACTTCAATACTGTTACGCATTTGACCAAAAAAGGTTTGATTGCTGGGTACATTATCCAATAGCTTTAGGAGTGATGTAGCTGGCAGCAAGGCAAGGGAACGTTCAATGAAAATTAACAATTAGACAACAATAATTCAAGGTGGACCTGAAAAGAACCGTTTTGTCGTTATGGTTGAGTAATGCTGAGCTATTAGGGTGTTCAACACAGATGAGGCTGGCAAGCTGTATGTTGTTTGGAACGAATGTGACACGCTTGGCATAGATGACCCACAGTGGCTTACGACGAGCAACTGAATCCGACCAGTAGCGGTGCAGCGTCTTCCTCCTTCTTCGGTGAATCGAGGGCTCATGAGGGCAACCTTGATAGCTAGCTGCTTGCGAGGAGCCTTTGGTTGTGTACTGTAGAAAAATGTTCAACGACACGTGCCGGAAACACTGCTGCTGCTGCTATTGCTGCTGATGACGACCGGATACCATCGCTCACCACACGCGCTAATTGAATAATCACAGTTAAGCTAGAGCAGATGGAATTCGGTTTTGAAATCTGTGTAAGGGAAAGCGCTTTTCGCAGGCAATTGGTGATAATTTTAACTATCATAGCAACAGTTACACATTCGTGCAATTTTCAATAGCGACCTTCAGAAAATTGATAAAGTCTTAATTTAGCAGATTCGTAGAAAAATGTCCTATCGATTGGCGTATTTAGAACTAATATCCATCATCTCTGGATCAAAATCAGGCCACTTTCATGCTGCGAGCGACTTTAGTTTTTAACATTGCACCCCAATGTTGGCTCAAAAATACATGATAGGGTATACGTCCCTAACCTCGGTCTAATATGCAGCCATCGATTACGTTTTTAATCATAACTCATCAATTAATTTACCTGCAAACGATATTCTACTGCTAAATGGTATGCTTAGATATGCTTATTATGTCGTTTGCTACCAGAAACCACGAAAAGTTGAAAAACTTACTTTTTTTGAGACAATAACTCACCAGGGAAATGTATGTAATATGGGTCTATTGTCCCCAAATTGGGTCTATTTATGGATGCAACTTCGTCCTATCTTGTTTGATCCTCAAAAAAACACTCTTGGTAACGTTTTCTGATGTATATTTTTTTATCACTATCACTGTTAACTTAATGCTCTTCATTCCTCAAAACATTTCACAGAGAAAATTTTACGAAAACTACATTAAATCACTCAAATTAAAAATTAAAAATTAAAAATTTCGCTTATCGTCTTTCGACCGCAGAATAGCGAAATCAAAACATTGTGATGTTCATTATACAGGTTTGGCAGAAAAAATCTTCCTTCCTGTTCGTTCCTTATCATCCAAATGCAAACCACATTGTTGACGTTACTCTTATTGCTATATGCTGTCAAATGAATTTCATGGGCCATAGTTAGGAACATAGAAAAGAAATGTGTCCCTAAAGTTGGGTCCATGATTTACTTGTGAAAACGTTGTTAAACAATTAAAAGAAACATAAAATATTCAAACAGCAACTGTAAGTTTTACGTCTAGTGTGTATTATCAGGTAATTCCATTCAATAAATGCCATAATCAGGCCATTTGATGATCGTCAGTCAACCTTCCCATCTTAACCTTATAAGTCATGGCGGCTAAAAACTCCGAACAGAGTGATATTCTCAACCAGTTTTATTACTTACGAGAGCTGAAAATGTATTGAAATGTTGTGATATAAATTGATTTGTGTGTGGTACACATTTATGAACCATCAGTGATCAATATTTTCCTTATTTTTTGTGTAATATTCCTTAATTAATTATTTATTTGCGTGATAGGCCGAATGAAAGGACTAGACCCACATTACATACCGTAACCCTATATTAGATTTAAACTTATAGGAACTGACATCCGGTTGATGACCTTGACAAATGTCCAGAAAAAAATCTTTAACACATTTATGGTGGACCTGAAAATTACCGTTTTGTCGTTATGGTTGAGTAATGCTGAGCTATTAGGGGGTTCAACGCAGATGAGGCTGGCAAGCTGTATGTTGTTTAGAACGAGGGTGACGCGCTTGGTATAGATGGCCCACAGTGACTCACGAAGAGCTACTGAATCGGATCAGTAGCGGTTCGGCTTCTTCCTCCTTCTTCGGTGAACGAACGCTCATGTGGGCTGCACACAGCAAAAAAATAATGTTAATACTACAGCCAAAAGGATGCACTTCAATCATGTCGAAAATCTCATGTAATTTTTATGGCCACAACAATAAACAAATGCAGTGAAAGCAGCGTTATGTCAGTATGTCAGGAAAGTAATATTACACCATATTTTCGACAC